GAGGGAGGGAGGGAGGGAGGGGGAGGGAGGGAGGAAAGAAAAGAAAGAGAGGGAGGGAGGGAGGGAGGGAGGAAGGATAATAAAATTATTAACATAAACAATAATAATAATTTTTTAAAAAGGAAGACAGCAACCAAACCAATAAATAAATCTACCAGTGATAACAAGCGCTAAAAACTAAACTAAGATAAACATAAATATCAGAAACAAGTCAGTTGCAGACAGCAAACTCCAAGTCTACCGTTGCTCTCAAAGTCCACCTCCTCAATTTGGGATGATTCGCTGTCTATTCATGTATTCCACAGATGCAGGTACATGAAGTTGATTGTGGAGCTTTAATCCGCTGCTCCTGAGGCTGCTGGGAGAGATTTCCCTTTCTCTTCTTTGTTCGCACAGCTCCCGGGGCTCAGCTTTGGATATGGCCCCGACTCTGCGTGTAGGTCACCCTCAGGCATCTTTAGGGAGGTCTGAGGTCTTCTGCCAGCGTGCAGTAGGCGTTCTGTAGGAGTTGTTCCACATGTAGATGTATTTCTGATGTATTTGTGGGGAGGAAGGTGATCTCCATGTTTTACTCTTCCGCCATCTTGAAGGTCCCCCCAGGACCGTATCCTTTTAGAGTATGTCTGTTTAAACCCATTTTACCACATTTTTTGTTAAAACCATTCTATGGTAATAAGGTAGTTAAACCACATTTTGAATGGGAATCTCTTGATTCCTTTGCCATTCTTCATTAATTTGGGTCTGTAGGACATTTCTGTCTCAGAATCTTACAACTGACGTGACTTCCTGCCGTTCCTGGCCTTCACCTTGCTGCCTGAGAACAGCACTGCCCTCACCACTCCCCTTAGTTGCTTTGTCCGCTAACCATTTAACCAGAACACTAGGGCAGACTGTGAGAATTTTTTAAAAATTCTTATTTTAACTAATATAAGCTACCTTATTTTAACTAAACTTTAAATTTCTAGGGTGAAAAAATTGTCGCCAGGATTAATTAATTCCAGAATGAAAATGAGCATTTTATGTTAATCCCCAGATCTTCATGTCTGCTCTTCAAGCATCATTTAAGTCTTTCTTGTGTTATCCTTTGCCTCTCATGCAGTGGAGCCTTAAAGATACTTCACCGTCCTTATGAGTGGAGAAACCTCAAAACATTTATAATATTTTTCATAATGTAAGTGATACAAGTGTCAGATGCCACAGATTAACAATATAAAACTAACCAAGTGCCAGTAGCACGTGTGCATGTAAAATATATCACTGGTTTATGCCTGGGATTGGTCAGCAAAATAATCACCTAAGGATATTTTTCAAAACCCCAAGATTCTGCTATGCTGTGTTTGTAGTAATAGGACAGAGATGGGGCAAAGCAGGTGGTGGACGAGATACGCTCCAGGTACTGTGTTTTGAAAAGGATCTCCAGGTGCTCTTGGTAGTGTCTACTTCCCACCCCAATCTCTTCTTTCAGCATGCTGAAAAATACTGCTGAAAACAACCTCATGCAAGTCAAGTCAGCATGTGTTTACCTGAACGATATTCATGTTCGTAACCGTAGTTCTGATCATTCAGTCAATACACATGCCAGGAATTGTGAAAGTTCTGTTTATTTTGTTGTTAAATGGCTAGAATTATCTGGTGCTCTGTTGTGCTTTAGAACGTAACAGTTTAGATGAGTGTTTTATTTTACTGGATCAAGTTAATATTAACCTCAAAAATAGTAACGTCTGACATTTCTTGAATGCTGACTGCGTCAGAAGCTGTGCTAATAAGTCTGTGTTAATTTAATTTAATGTTTGCAGCAATACCATGAGGCAGATACTGAGAAAACTGAGGCCTGGGGGGAGGACACAGCCTCATGGGCCAAGGCTCGCCTGGCAGCAGCCTCATGCAGACCCTCACAGAGGCTGTGACCTTCACCACCACACTGTTTTGTTTCTTGTTAATGAAGTTAGTCTGTGCCGTACGTTTCTCATTTAACTAAAGCTGCTATTTGCGGAGTACCTGCTATTTCAGTGGTTTGAGAATTTTCTTGTCATGTATCTGTATGTGTGTACACACATGTGTGTGTAATTTATATGAGTGTCTGCTATTAATATTTTTGTTGTAAGTAAAAATTAAATATTTGAAGTAAATGAAAATTAACATATTTGACACTTTTTAATTTCAGTTTATCGATGGTCGACTGGCAAAACTAAATGCAGGAAAGGGTTTCTCTGATGTATTTGAAGAAGAGATCACTTCAGGTGGCTTTTGTGGAGGTAAAGACTAGTTCCAGTGAGATTATCCATTTTCTGAATAACAGTTATCTTGATATTTGCACTTGTGTCTCATATAATCTACTTCATAAACAACTATTTTCTCCTAAATATCTAATATCTTAGATACATTTTTTCATCTTATAAGAACTATAGTATTAAGTTACTTTGCCTGGTATGTTATTCAAGGCTGAAGGCGGTCTCATGAGTTGGTAGTGGCTTGCTTGGATAGTCTCTTAATATTACTGGAGATGAATATCATAGAAATGCAATTAGTTTGTATTTTCCAGCCTCCTGACTAGTTTTCTCCACTAGAAAACTACTAGTGATATCTACTACTAAGATTAAAGAACTGAGATTGTTGTTGGTATAGTAGATTTTAATGTAGTCCAGAAAGAAAGATTTGAACACCACAGCTGCTTCTGTAGTAAGAGTGTCATTGTAGAAGTCTACTTTTTTTGCTTTGCAGACCCTGCAGCGTTAGGAACAGACTTTTCAGTTTACTGTCCCATGTTCTTACACTTGTCACTGTAATAAGTGCTCACTTAAAGCAGTGGAAGGAGGCGTCTTATTTTGTATGTGTGACACACAGGTGATACCCCATTTTTATTTAATATAATTAATGTAATATAATCGAGCAGTTACATTGTTTGAAATGTAAGTAATTCAGACAGTGTTACAGTACTTAGGAAATTAATGACTTAGGGACTGGTACTCTGTACATAATGTTCCAGTATGTAGTCCTGATTCTGGCAGAGAATTTTGCTGGAGACCTTGAAATGTCCTCTTCATTCTTTCAGCCAGTGTTTGCTGAGTGTTTCCAGTGTACCAGGTGCTGTTCTAGATTTGGGATGGGCTAAACAAATAATCCCTGGTGTGTTCACTTTCACCTGGTGTGATAGTAGTTTTTCCACTTATATGTAGGTTTAATTTAGGAAAAAAAAAAAACCTTTAGTCTGTGTGTGAATAAATAGTTGCTAGCATTGAGAAATAAAATGTGAAAAGACAAAGAGTAATAAGTCCTCATCTACAAACTTCCCCAAATTTAATTTTAATCTTGAATAAGATTTACTTTTGCACCACAAAAGTATAAAAACCATTGAGGTCATTTGTTCATTATAAGAGGTACGGATGAACTGAGCAGTTATGGACCTTCCTCTGATGTAAGCATAGCATTTCACTGAAAGCTTTCAGCTTTGAGAAAAACTTAGTTTCCTCGACTCAGCAAGTGAGCTGAATGTGGAATCGTTCAGCTCCTCGCTCTCCTCAGCTTATGGATAAAAATGTAGCTTCAATGGAACTTTTGTGTTAAAATAAGGCTTTTTTACTTTTCAACTCAGACAAGCAAAATATTGTCAGCTCGTGGATGGATTGCTTGAGGCGCCTACTCAGCATTTACATACCTGCCGTCTCATTATCGCTATGACCCGTGGGGCTAGTATCTTATATGGGATTGAGGATGACATCGTGTGACAGTAATGGGGTGGAACTATGATCCTTTTGTGTAGTGAAATCCTGTAGCCTTCACCATTGGTCCACAGACCCTCTGTAACAGAGTAGAGGGTAGGTGGCTTTTCTGGTGGGAGGAGGGTCACCAGATTTTTTCACGGAAGGCCCTGCTGTTTAAAAAAGAACAGAAGCATATTTATCACCAGGTAGCATCTGATTTAGAGACTGCTGCATTTTCAGTACAACTTAATGCCAACCAGTTTGTTGTTCCTTCTTAAAATGAAAAAGGTTTTGAACTCTTATTTTACTTTAAGGAGCCAATACTGATCCAAAAGGAAAGCATCATTTAACAAGTATTCATTTCAGTAGGTACAGCAAGAAAGTACATTAGAAAATGATGCCTGGCTGTCAGGTGTTATTCTTTTAATTATCATATTTTAGGTTATTATCTTAGAGATACATAGAGATTCTTCTTAGAAGAAAATAAAGCAAAATCATTAGAATTTGAAATAAAAAGACTAATAATCTTTTAAAAATGAGCATTGTTCTTACTAATGAGATACATGTGTATGTATAGTTCCAAAACTAGTTCCTAGAAGTCTGCTGCAAACATTTGTCATCTAGACCACATTTGTGAGAGAGAATACGTCTGAGATACCGAACTGGGGTTCAGAAAGTAAACTGTTACAATTTCTCATTTCTCTCATAGTTACAGTAAAAATTATGATAAATGTTCATACTTATTGAATGTTAGTATGTGGTAGAAGCTCTCGTAAGAGCTCTCCAAGCATTATCTCACTTAACCCTCACAGCACCCTGTGAGGGACTTTGAGTAGGTTTTTTGTTTTTGTTTTTTTTTTTGGTGTAGCCTTATTTTTATGAGGGTACCCATCTCGATAATTTGCCCAAGGTCACACGTGACGGCCTGGCTCCAGAGCTCCTGCTTTAATAACTGTGATCTGTTGCCTTCTTATGATAAGAGATCTTCTCAATTAGAAGACCTTCAGTAAACAAGAGCAGTACTCAAGCCTTCTCTGCTCTGATGGATAAAAGCAAAATTCCTGTCTCTTTTGAATATCCTTTGAAGATTTTTTAATATATAAAACCTTCAGAAAGATCACTGTAGGAGAAATCAACATTCACTGAAGCTAAAGAAAAAATCATATGTTCCTTTAAGCAAAAATAGGAAATTTTAGACAAGCATCTCATTTCTCCTCTTTCTATTCCATTACAGTGGCAGTTTATATACTATTTTTGTTGCTAATATGCATGGTTATGATAAAATGAATATGAGGATAGTGGAGCTGTGTAATTGCTGTGGCTATTGTGCAGCACATCACATGTAGAACATCTCGATTCACATTGGGTCTAGAACTGTGGTTAACAGCTGTGAATGGGTGTGGATTTTCCAAAACGCCTCTCTGTCCTGTGAATCCCTGTGGTCAGAACTGTTAAGGAAATCCATGTTACCCCTGATCCCTTTCATGGGAGACTTGTAGAACATTCAACCTTATCTTAAGAGGAAAGTAAAAAGAATATCAGAAAATGTGTAGAGGGAAGAATAGCATAGAGGTTAAAAGGTCATCAAAGAGACCACAAATAGGACAAAGGATGCAATTAGATAAACACAAATATCGGTCTGTGAAAAAGCAACTGAGGAATATTGAGTAGTTAAGATCATGGTTTTTTTCCCGCATAATTTTTAAAAATTGAGTTACAATGTTATATCAGTTTCAGGTATATAACATAGTGATTCGGTATTTTTCTAGATTATGCTCCATTTAAAGTTATTATTAGATATTGGCTGTATATTATACTGTGCTGTACATTACATCATAGTATTTTATTTTACAATGTACCTAGTAGTTTGTACCTCTATTTTTTTTCATTTAAAATAAGACTAGTTATTAAAAATCCACATCCAGTTTTCTGAACTTTAAAAAGGAGACACATTTTCAGATTGATTTTATATAGAAGTGTGTGGTTACTCTCCATTATTAGCATTGGTTTCTTCATTAGTTTCCCAGCATAATCTGATCAGTCTTATATTTGTTTAATCCTATTTCTTTTTTTACTGACTGGTTACCAAAGAAATTTGAAGGGGTGGTAGGTAAGTATTCATTAGTTTTAGTGACATTTTTCTGGCCTCACTGAACAATTTAGAACAATTTACATTTTTTGATAAGTGACTGCAGGTTACTGGAATTTAAGCAAATATATTTGAAGAGAAAGTCTTTGCACAAGTGAGAAAGATATTTTGTCCTTGAATGCGAGAAAATCACTTGTTTGATTAACAAGTACAATGTTGAGAATTTCCTCCATAATGCTTATTATTTCCATAATCCAGTTACTTTAAAAGAAAGACTGAGGGTTGTTGTTTTTTTTTTTTTTTTTGGCATTTAGATTTATTTTTTGAGAAGAAAAACAGCCTTTTTTTAAAAAACACACATTATCAGAGAATAATGTGCTTGTCTCATAAATTTTGTGGAAATAGGAGCCTTCAGACTTAAAAGCACTAGAGTTGAAAGAGACAATTAGCCTTTAAAAATTTTTTTACCGGGAATCTACCTAAATTGCACTACATGTTTTCCTATTAAGCTGTTACTTAGGGACTTCCTGTTTGTCCCTATACCACATGATTCCACATTATTATTACGGGTGGTTCTGACTATCAGCTGTTTCTCCTCTTGGTATCAGCTTTGAGCAGCCCCCTTTCCTTTCTAGTACAATCGCTTTGAAGTCATTCAGAGAAAATCTCTATATAACTTAACTCTTCTCATATTTTATTTATGCTTCCATCTTAAAAGTTGAAGGACTAATGAACCAAGAATTAAAATACCTCGACTCTTATTCTTTCTCAGTTGCAATCTTTGTGAACTTGGGCAGGTAATCACATCAGAACCTCAGTTTCCTCATTTGGCAAGTTATTTGTCAGAATAACTAAGTTGATGGTGTGCTGTCACATGCTACACGTTGCAGCAGCCAGGTTACAGACCTAGTCCCAGTGGCATGGTTCACAAGGGCAGAGTGGCCTGACCCACAGACTCACTGGACTGCAAAGCCCACTTCCTTCCCATCCAACTGCTCTGCCTGTGGCACCACCTGCTTGGCCTATTTTACAGTAGAAAGATGCAACTCAAGTAATATAACACAGACAAAAACATTTTGCAACCTGTAAAGAGCTGAATACGTATGAGCTATTTTTATTCCTCACAACTTTCTCCAAGAGCTGACCTTTCTGTAACTGCTCTGAAGTTTTATGATAGTTACTTTCTTTGTGGTTCAGAGGTTTAAAAAATATGTTTTCTGGAATGACAAGTGTTCCAGAATGCTAAATAGTTATATCATATAGTAGTTGGTGTTTCTCTTTCCACTTTCTAACTTCATTTTGGGGAATGAATTGAAACACTTTCCAGAATACTATGAATAATAACCAAGTTTTAAATATGTGATTTCCACACAACCATTTTTAGTAGAGAAGTAAAAAGTATATGAACTGATGAGACTTTTTAATAGAGAAGTAAAAGTATATGAATAATCTGGATAAAGACATACTGTTTAATTTCTGTTAATAAAATCTCCTTGAGAAATAAATTAATAGAATAACTTGTATTTTTTCATCATTTTACAAGGGAAATAAAAATTTTGGTCAGGCTGTATACTATCTGAAACTCATGCCCTTTAAGCAATGCATAGACTATTTTAGGTAGATACATTTTGTTGTAGTCATTTCATAAGATTAGAAAAATATTGTTTTCCTCGTATTTCTTCTTCCAGAAAAGGTACAGTGTAGTGCTGAGTAGTAAGAGATGTTCTTCAGAATAGGGGTTGTTTCTTGATATTTCTTTGAAATTAGGGAGAGATTTTTAAGTATAGGAGGGAACCCAGAGCTGGAAATTTTTTGCCTGATGTTGATTAGGGATGCAAAGCTAACAGCTAGAAAGAAGTTCTTGGGCTAAGGGTCATTCTGCCTCTGTGTTATAACAGCAAGGTGATGCATTTGTTAAAAAGCCACAGCTACACACAGGAGGAGAACACAATCTACTTTAGGGATCCTTTGTACTGGGTAGTCAGTCTCTGAGTAACCTTTGTTTTTTTTTCTTGTGGGAGTATTTAAGCATTTAAACAACCAGGAAGGTAGATGAAATCTAACTAAAGTCCGCTGATATAAAACAGTACTTTAGTTGTGTGGCTTTCTTTTTTTTTTTACCTTCTTATATCATCTTATTCATTAAACTAATTATCATATTTGGAGCCAAATACATGATTACTGGTTTTACTAGGACTGGTTGTGTCAGCATTTGAACTTTCTGATAACCATGAGGAGATACTACCATATTTCCTGGGGTAGTACCTTTCAGATTTGGGTTTACAACTAGAGAATATTTTCAGAACATTACTGCAGGTTAATTGCATGAAAGTAAAATTTGCTATCAATTAATACTAATGTTTAACAACTATAGAGGAATCTTTTTGGTCCTCAAGGATCTTTGCATTTCTAAATTTCCTTCTAGTTTTTTCCTTTCCTTATACACTTTTTAAAAAAAATTTTTAACATCTTTATTGGAGTATAATTGCTTTACAATGGTGTGTTAGTTTCTGCTTTATAACAAAGTGAATCAGTTATACATATACATATGTTCCCATATCTCTTCCCTCTTGCGTCTCCCTCCCTCCCACTCCTTATACACTTTAAATATTGTTTTAAATGAACCTAATTGTATAAAAGAGCCAAACTTTTACAAAACAACATAGACATAAATATTAAAAAATCAGTTTAAAAGATGTAGGAATTTTGGATTTCGAAAGAGAGGTTATTTTTTCCCTCTGAAAGTAGTGTTAAAATGAAAGAAGATAGAATACCTTAACATGTTATCTTCATATATGAGTAAAGAAAAAGTAGTCTTAAAAGTGCTAGTTACTATTTTCCTAAGAATTAGAGCATTTATTAGTTCTTATGGTGAAGTGCTTCTTTTACAATATTGCAGATAAATAAAATTTGCCTACTAAAATCCTGGAAATGCTAGTTCTTGATGAATTTTGGTTTATGGATTTATTTTTGATCAGATATTCCTGACATCTTATTTTTATATATTTCAGGGAACTCGAGGTCATATCAGCAATGGGTGCATACAGTCAAGGTAATAATAAACCGTCACAGTTTCTTTTTTTTTCTTTCACTCTAACATATATGGGGAAATGTTCAGTTCAAGTATACTGTTTATGTTTATGCTGTTTATTGGCAATATTCGAAATGTTTCTATGTTTTCTCACACTTTAAATATTTTTATTTTATGCTTATGGTTTGTTGCTACTTATAAAGAAAATTTTAAAATAGAAAGCCTTTGTCTTTCCGTTTTCAAAATAAATGGCTTGATTTGGAAAGCAAGATTTTACTGTCACCTTATAATATATTCCAGAAGAAGGAGTTAGGCAGAGTGGTAGGATTTGATGGGAGTTTTATTATTTCTGGTAATGTGCTTTTGTTAATATGATTATTTAAAATATAAAACTCTCTGTCACAGATTGAGACTTTACTACAAAACAGAGAAACAGATGATTGTATTTCTTTTTTATTAAACTTTAAATATATACTGGTCATATTGCCCAAGTCTGCCTAAACTGCAAAGACGAAGGGATTTTATTATGCCAATTAAAAGAACAGAGTAGAATGTTTACATTTTGTGTGAAATTACTATAGCGTATATAAAAGCTTGAAAACATCCAACGTGAAATAATTTTGTAGGTCTTTCTTTAAGCTGTGAGTAAAGCTCTTTTTCTATACTATTAATAATGCTTTGTTTTCAGGACAATCTGGCCAAAAATTTTTAGGACTGTGTTTCTGTTTTTCCTTTGCAGAAAGGAGGTGCACTACTCAACACAGCAATGACCAAAGCAACCCCCGCTGTGCGAACAGCGTATAAATTTGTAAGTTCTCTTTGGTGTTTTAAAAGTTCTACTGGTAAAATTTTATAACATTTTCCTAGATGATAAACATGTAAATCCAAAATCTTTTCTATTCTCCTTTAAATAAGCTTTTAAAAAAATTTAGAGTTAATATCGACTGAAGCAAACTCAGTTATTAAAATTGTATCATTGTCCAGACAGGATATTTCCTCTGTATAATCTAAAAACGGCTCTTCATTTTATTTCAAAGCTATCCGCAAAATTGTGCCCTCAAATCGAAACAGTCCATGATGAAGAGCCATTTTTAAAGATTTGATTCTTTCATTTAACAACATATTTTAAATTCTCATTGTGCACTTGAGGCTTAAGTAGAAAAACATTTTTAAAAGTATGGCAAGTTCTCTTCCCTCAAAGATACTTTGACTCTCCAAAATTAGAATTCTTCAGTGATACCCCATGGCTTGTAGTAAAATAATAATGATGATACCAGTAGCAACCACGATAAGTAAATAATTAACAACCTAAAAATCTCTTTGCTGTGATAACTGAGACCCTCCAGGAGCCGGCGCCTCCTGCGTCCCGTCTCATCTCCCCGAACCCCCAGCCTTGGTGTTTCCAGACCCTGAGCTCTGCTCCTTTCGTGAATGCAGGGCACTCTCTTCTGCCTCTTTATTCTTCACAGGCCGTTCCTGCTGCTTTTGGGATGTCCTTTTCTTGGCTTCTATCCACCTACTAAATTCATCCTATAGACGTAGTTTAGACATCAGTTCCCCTCAAAAAAAAAGTCCCAGCGCCACACAAAAAGCGTTTATATAGCTCTTCTGTGCTTCCACAGGACCTGTGGACAGACCTCTGCTTCAACACTTGTGTCTGTGCACCTGGTATCTATACAGGAGACCTGTAGGAGCTGGTGGGTTGGCACTCAGCAAGGCTTTCTTTGAAAATTCAGTAGGTCGTATATATAGTCTGTATTTCTAAAAATATTCTGGGCATTAGTTTTGATTTTATAAGAATTTATCTTCACATGCTTTCTCAGTAATGAATCGATGTGATTGAATTAATGATAGAATAATATGTTTTGATAACTTTAGAACTTACACTCTTTCCCTGACTTACAGTTTTGATATATATGTAGCCACCATTTCTGTTTAAAAAAATCTGTTTCAAAGGTTATGTTTTATAGTAGCGAGGCTAATCTACAGAGTGGATTCAAAGATACGGAACCAAATCTCTGAACTATCTGAAGGCTTATCAGGAAGTAAAAGTAAGAAGAGGTGACGTTTTGTCTTAGAAGTGTCAGCCTCTGCCTTTGTTCAAAGCCTTGCTAGGAAAGCTCTCTGAGTAGATCGCCTTCTCACTCTAATTAATACTGGTGGTTTGATCTATATACAGTTTTTGAAGAGATGTTAATTTTTCACAATGAAATAGCACATAGCTGCCATGTAAAAAAAATCGAACTAATGTTGAGCCTCGTTTTCCACATTTAAGATTCTAAAAAGGTGTCACAGTCAAGTACCCTTCATTTTGATTCCTGAGAGAATGCTCAACGTTTTCCTTCAGGCTTGGAGAGGTTAGATTTTAGCTTTGCTAAATACGTGTTCTTCTCCTTAATTTCACTCATATCTTCCATAAAAGCACAGAGATAGAGCAAATATGTTCAAAACCGCATTTGTCATTTAAATTTGTATCCTTCTAACCAGCATTTTATTTTGAACCCTGCTCAGCAGAACAGTAAAATATTTCAAAAATTTAAAATTCTGCTCTTTGGAAGAGTATTCCCTAAATTAATTTCAGGCGAATTAGAGTATTTAGAATATACTTAATCACTTTTAACATTTGTCTTGTGATCAGGTTGAACATGAATCAAGAGGTTTGGGGCAAGTAGATAAGTCGATCTGTGACCTTCATGGTTGTACCGAAAACTCTTCTTTCTAGACTGCTCATATTCTGAAATATGAGCTCTGAAATTCCTCCTTTGACCACAGATTGCTATGAACAAAATTCCCAATTTCTCTTGTATGGTATAACAGGATTTATTTACCTTGAAGTTCTGTAGGTAATACATTTTTAAAAACCCTGGGAACCATGTTTTTAACTGTTTTATTCATTCAGCAAATCACTGTCATGATCTAGGCTTTGTACTGGTTATTGGAGCAGGGCAGGCACTGTGAGTAAGAGAGGGGCTGTCCCTGCTTTTATATGTGTATTGCTGTGTGACTCTCGGTGCTTTGGACGCACTACAGAGGTACCGAATATGTATTCATTGAAGGAAATAATGATTTTGTCCTATACTTAGAACATTTTTCTATCTTTTGTTTTTCCATGCTAATAAGGAGCCATAAAGAAAACTCGAGTGGACATACCTATCTTCTTACACATCTAAAAGTAACAGCAAAGTGAATACATATTTGATTTGGCTAAAAGATTTTCTGAGTCAACTTTCTTGTTAGGTCTTTGCATTCTAAATTACTAGCCAAAGCCGTATTTGCTGGGTGCTTTTCTGCAGAGAATACTTGTTTGTTGATAAGTTTCCACTTGATAAATTGAAAAGGATCGAGAGATCCTGTATCCCACCTTCCGGAGGGTCTGAAAGAGGTCAATGAGGGGGAGGTGGACAGCAGGCGTGTGAGTGAATCAGCACAAGGATGGCTGACCGTGACGGACACCTCACTCAACTCTGTGCATCTGAACGATGCGTGTGAATCAGGTGGGTTTTGAAAGAATAGAGGATACTTAGGCAAACTAGAATATAGTCCAAATGTGAGTAAAGATAGGTGCAAATCTGAGGAGATTAGAACAGGAACATTTTTGAGGGGGGTAATTATGCATTTTTACCTAACGGGAATGTGGGCGTTAATACAGGACCCTTGAAATAGATTCAGTGGCTTTACCACTAAAATAATGCATGCAGAAATGCTCTATTGATTCTAAAGAACCATGGAAATATAATTTAGTGTTACGTGGCTTTTTAGATAATCTTTTGCCTCATTTACAATAACGAAATCTTTGTTTTGGTTTTGCCTCATTTACAATAACGAAATAACAGTTTAGTTCAGTTCAGAACATTTCTTGAGCAGTTACTGTCTGCCAGATGCTTGCTGAGTACTTCGGATATTAACAGGCCCCTCTTCCCCTCCGTGAACTTGGGAAGACCCTTCCTGGAAGTAACTTGGCTTCATCCGCATGACCTGAGTCTGTAGAATAAGACTCACAGTGCCATTTCTTTCGTGAGGCTTAGATTCGGTGGATGTATTTTAAAAACCTTAGTTTCTCCTTCTTCTTGGGAAGAAGTTGGACTTGGACCTGGATTTGAATCTAGGCTGTGGAGGCTTATACCCTCTGAGTCACTTTCCTTATTTGTAAAGTGTAATAATCATAGTACTAACTCCATAGCGTTGTGATGATTAAATGAGGTAAAGCATGCTCGGTACCCAGCGCACAAACGCCGAGGAAACGCAAAATAAATGTGAATTTCTTTTCACTTCTTCTGTGGGTGGGAATTTCCAGTGGGAATTGAGCTTTTCTGAAAGCCCCCCGTGGTCTTCAGTTCACTCACACGGCACGGGAACCACAGCGGGACCTCACGGCCTCCGATGCTGGAGCCAGGTTCCCCTGGAACATGAACAGAGCCTTTAAATTGTTAAATGACTTGTAATTTTTTCCAGGAAAACTGTATATGACATAGACACAACAAGACTCGTGTCTGCCTATAAAAGCACTTTGTAAAGTTGCCTGAGTTTCTTCTTTTTTTTACATCTTTATTGGAGTATAATTGCTTTACAATGGTGTGTTAGTTTCTGCTTTATAACAGAGTGAATCAGCTATATATATACATAGGTTCCCATATCTCTTCCCTCTTGCGTCTCCCTCCCTCCCACCCTCCCTATCCCACCCCTCTAGGTGGTCACAAAGCACCGAGCTGATCTCCCTGTGCTATGCGGCTGCTTCCCACCAGCTATCTATTTTACGCTTGGTAGTGTATATATGTCCATGCCTCTCTCTCACTTTGTCCCAGCTTCCCCTTCCCCCTCCCCGTATCCTCAAGTCCATTCTCTAGTAGGTCTGTCTTTATTCCTGTCTTACTCCTAGGTTCTTCATGACATTTTTTTTTCTTAGATTCCATATATATGTGTTAGCATACGGTATTTGTCTTTCTCTTTCTGACTTACTTCACTCTGTATGACAGACTCTAGGTCCATCTACCTCACTACAAATAACTCAATTTCATTTCTTTTTATGGCTGAGTAATATTCCATTGTATATATGTGCCACATCTTCTTTATCCATTCATCCGATGATGGACACTTAGGTTGCCAACAAACACCTGAAAGAATGCTCAACATTATTAATCATTAGAGAAATGCAAATCAAAACTACAATGAGGTATCATCTCACACCAGTCAGAATGGCCATCATCAAAAAATCTACAAACAATAAATGCTGGAGAGGGTGTGGAGAAAAGGGAACACTCCTGCACTGCTGTTGGGAATGTGAATTGGTACAGCCACTATGGAGAACAGTATGGAGGTTCCTTAAAAAACTACAAATAGAACTACCATATGACCCAGCAATCCCACTACTGGGCATATACCCTGAGAAAAACACAGTTCAAAAAGAGTCATGTACCAAAATGTTCATTGCAGCTCTATTTACAATAGGCTGGAGATGGAAACAGCCTGAGTTTCTTAAAGTCCAGACATTTGCCCAGATAACCTGCTGCTCTGATGTGCTTTCTCTTTTCCTTGCCCATTTGTCAAAGTTTCAGATTATGGCTGGGCGGTAGTCATCTTGCGGCCTCTTGTGTTTTTTAATAGTTTAGGAGGCGGAATAGGCTAACTGCTAGCCTTTGTATGATGCCTATGCAAACAGAGACTAATCGTGCTTTCACCACCTCATTTAGGTGTAATAGTGTGTGGTATGTGTCCCTGAAAATAGAGCTTTAGATGATAATTTCTTCTTTCTCTATATAATATGAAGACTTGGTAATTTTCATTAAATGGGATCTCATGTACTTACTCCTTAAGTGTAATAGAAGCACGCTGAGCCAGACACTGGTGTTATCATTTCCTAGGCAAAGAATCATGCAAAGCAGGGAATAAAGGAAGTGAAGAGTAAGCTGAGACACAAGGTACGTCCTGTGCTGCTTTTCATTCTACCTTGATTCTTGCGTTAGTTTGAAGCTTATGCCTTACAAATCACACGAGATTTATGTTTCTAATGACTTTTGAAATATGCTTAGCCCTTTGTTCAAGAATGTATTTTTCATAACAAGCCCTCTGGCAACTCTCTGCCATTCTCTATGCACCCCCTGAATAATCTCTTTATTGTCTGCGTATTTTATCACAGAGCGACCAAGATCTTCAAAGGTGCTTTAACAGGATGTATGTTTTCATAAAGTTGATTGCCTTGATATCACAATTGAAATTCTTGCTTCAAGCTGAGAATTTTTTTTTTTTTAAAGATGATCTTTGGTGCAGAATTAAGGCAGGAATGCCATCGTTTGGCTTTATAGGAACTTTCAAATAGTAGCTACTTTAAATTGAAGAATGTTCTTAATTTACAAAGGTGTATTTGAATCTGTGAATATTGCATATATGTGAATAGTTACATTTATGTATATGTGTGTTTGATTTGATTACATATAATATCTTTGCAGATTTTATCAGTTGTTGTGTTTTGAATTTCTGCCTCTGGAGGGAAGAGACTAGTTAAAACTTTCATTGTAGTAATGGAGAGTGAGCGATCTTCGTATAAATTTTATTGAAATTGTTCAAAAGAGTCAGACTATTTTGGAATTTATTAATTCATAATATAGAAAAATGCATTTTCTTCCTAAATAGGTTTTTTTAAACTTATACCCGAAGTGTTATTTTGTTACTTGCATCTGTATTGGATACTTTATCTATTAAGCAAAAAAGTTTAGTAGTAAAATGAGTATTTTAGAATAACCACTTGTATGCTTCTTCACGTGTAGGAAAATGAGGACGATTATGGGACTTGTTCTGGTTCTGTACAATATACGCCCGTCTACACGCTACGCAGTGAAAAGGGAAGAAACCTAGCAAGGCGTAAGCTTGCCCAGGTGAGGTTGTTTACCCTCCCATCTCCCAGATTCTGAAGTCAAGCAATTCCAATCAATTCTTCAGGAAAATTTGGAACCCATTGATTTTTTTTATCATATGGTGAGAAACCCTGCGTTGATGGTCAAGGAGGTGAGTAGGTGGCGTCTGGGCCACGAAAGAGGGTCCTGGGAGCCCAGGGTCCAGGTCCCAGTCTGTACACACGTCACTGGGTCATGTCCTCCTGGTGAGTGGAGAGAGACAGGGCAGTGTGTGGTGGCCCGGGACTCGGGGTAGCTTATTGATGGCTTCCTTTACTACAGAGGTAAGATGAAACTCAAACGTGGGGATTTGACTGCTAAAGTAATCTGTAGAAATTAGAATACGAAGTAATGTATGTCTGTCTTTTTCTAAAGTTAGATATTTTATTTGCTATCAATAGTTAAAGCTTCTGCTTCTATCTAATGCTACTTAAAATATTGTCCTAAAGTAGGAAAGGGTTCAGGATCATAGCTGTATGTGTCTCTGATTTTGCATCATAAGTGTGTTGCTGCTTGTTTCAAGGAAGCAAAATTTGCATACGCCAAATCATACTTTAAGTGGTCTTAGAAAACTAGCTTTTAAAATGAATTCTCAAGTGGATTATAGTTACGAAACCATGGAACTGGAAGCAGCTGCAAAGCTTCATTTATCACAGTCACCAAAGTTTACAGTTGAGGAAGTTGGTAGCCGAATGGTCCCATCACTTACCTGAAGTCCTGTAACTAGTTAGTGGCAGGGCTGGACGAGAGCCCACCTCCGGTGCTCAGGTAGCTCCCTGGATGTGCAGACACTCAGTGCAGGGCTTTCCTGTGTCTTTAGGAATGGGGAGAGGGCCCTGGAAGCGGTGCTAAAACCTCAGCCTTTGTAAAGAAGACCCATTCGTTTGGTTGTTCAACAGCTATTATGCGTCAGGCACCTTTCTCGGTATTTTGGAAAAACATAAAAAAAATCTCTGCTTCAGGGGACTGTTTTTATAACATACAAAGTGCCTTCTCTATGATTTTTCCATTTGTTAAGCTTACGTTTTCATACATTAGTATTGCTTAACTGCAGCATATTGGTCATGAATGCTGGTTGCATGACCTGAATTATTTCAATGAAATAATTATTCCACAAGGGTAGGAAACTTTTCTGGCTACCACCATTAACTGGAAAACATTTATTAACTTGTAAATTCGTGATGGATTTGCAATCAATTTCTTAATTTTTCTCCTTAGATTATATTAGATTAGATTTTAGGTTATCGTGATAAATAGATTTTTATGTGAAAGAAATGTGGGAGTCTTTGTTACCTGCAGGATGCTTTAAGATAAAAAGCAAACACTTAAAGTGGAGAAATCCCTGTTCTAAATGTCAGTTTTAAATTAAGGAAATTATTTTTCTCTCCTCATATTTAAAATTTTAAATCTGCCTTTTCTTTAACGTGGCACAATATTTTTATGATAATTTAATTATAAAATACATTACTGATTTCTGTTTTTGTTTGTTTTCTTTGAATTCCTAGAGACACAGTTTCTGATAGAGAAAATTATATTAGGTAATAGAAAACCTTACAGGATAATAGGTTACATTCATCACATACTTACCCTGAATCTTCATGGCTATCATTTGCTGTAATACCATTCGTGTAGTTGTCTGCATTCATTAGTTAGCATTTTATGGTTTTCAGGTGGACATGACATGACTTTAACAAGAATTAAAAGAAGTAGGGCTTATTCTTTTGAGAATTATTATTTTCCTACTCGGTATATAGGAATTTGTTAAACCAACATATTTAGATTTATTGTGCAGATGCTGACAATGTCTGCGTTAACAGTCTTTGCAAGTGATAAATACCTGAGTTTCAGGCAATGTGTATACCCAGAATATGTTTCTTTGTATACATCTGTCCCATTATGTAAATAGGTACATACATCTGTGTATATGTATTTTAACAGCTAAATTTTTTGAGTTTATATTTCCAACCGTTTGCAACCCAGTATTTATTGTAATTTAACTTTTTGCTTTTGCTTGTATTTCTTCTATCATTGAAATTTGATAGCTTTAGATTCACATAGACACTAACCAAAGAGGTAAATTTTGGGCCCTTTGGCAATTCTTTTCCTTGCTACTTTCCACCCTTACTTTTTTTCCCCATAGCTGCCAGAATGCATGTTTTCTTGCAATACTAATTTTACTTCTTTGAGCTGAAAGTTATAGGGCTCTGAAATGATAGCCAACTTGTGGTCAGCAGCTTATTTATAAAAGCAGACCATGGTACATTCAAATTGAAATTGTCATCTAATTCCAGATCTGAGTTATTTCTTTAATTTCATAGTGTTAGCAAACACATACACGTGAAATACGACAACAGCAGGACATTCGTTACGAGGATCTAGGTGTTCCTGCCTCCATGTGCTGGGGGGATTGGGACTGGAAAATGGGAAAAGCAGTCGGGGGAGAGTATCGACCCCACCATCTTCTCTGTCTGTCTCACCTGGTCTGTTCTCTCTGCGTGTTTGTTCACTGTGCCTTCTGTAGATCGGCTTTCTCAGCTCCTCTGTCCCTTCGGTGAGCTTGCAGGCCCTCAGTGCAAACAACTGCTAGAAATGGACCACATAGACATATGGCCACTCTTTTCTTTGGATTCCTTTCCCATACAGGACATTACAGAGTATTGAGTAGAGTTCCCTGTGCTACACAGTAAGTCCTTATTAGTTATCTATTTTACGTAGAGTAGTGTGTATATGTCAATCCCACCTGAAACTAACATAACACTGTAAATCAACTATACTCCAAAAAAAATTTTTTTTTATTTAAATTTAAAGAAAAGAGAGAAATTGACCACAATTCCCAAATCCAGTTTCTTGAGGAAGGACGTAATCAGCCCCCATGGATCGGGCTTCAATCCTTGGCTCCGTCGACTCTAGCCAGAGAGGCCGGGAGAGGACCACATTACCACAGACACTGGGTCGGTGGTGGGTGCGAACAGGGAAAGCAGTTCTCAGAGTAGGGGTTTTAAGGGGTGTGGCAGTATCTCAGAGGATTTCTGTGTTTCTCATTGCCTTGTAATGCTATTTGCCAAGAAGTCATCTTTGCAAAAGAAAAGAAAAATCTGTAGTTTTGAGTGGTTAGAGGCTGGATCTTTGTCCCACAAATCTGAAGCTTGGTAAGTTTAAGGTCAGCCTACCCTGATGGGCTGCTGTGGCCTCTGTTCTCGCGGGAGAGATGAGCGACTTACGCCAACAAAAGGACCTCAGCAGAAATAAGCTTCAGATGCAATATTTGCACTTTGGGCAAAGAGATCAAGAGGGATCAGGCATAGTCTACTGCCTTTTCTTTGTGGTCTGGTATTGAGAAGCTTCCTTGGTTCACTTTTTGGAGATAATCCAATCTCATTGATTTAATCAAAATAAGATCCAGTATCCTGTGGAGCAGACAAAGTTGATGCTAGAACCATGTGCGTGTTGTTCTATGGTGATTCCCAAATGAGTATGTTCTCTCACTCCTATCTCCACAAGTTGTAATAATATTAGGATCTGAGCACATTAAGATTTTCAATTAAATATGGAAGCAGTTCTGGGAGTAGTTGGGTGCGGTTAAAGAAAGAACCTAGATATCAATAAATACGTCAGAGACACTGATGTTTATTTGTTTATATTCTACCTATTTCCAAAAATAAATTGATATCTTACAAAGAATCATAGAATAAAGAATTAAAATTCATTTAATTTAGGGAAGATTCACGGCAGAGAGAAAGTAAGTGTAGTAAGAAGCTAAGGCCCCGTCCCGTGCTTAGCAGCCAAAATGAAAAAGCACAGCTACCATGATTCCTAATGCAGAGATTTAGAAAGCTGTTCAGGAGATTCATCACCGTCTCAGGACATGGGGCTGGCTGCACACGGTCCTGAGGAGGTACCTGGCAAGGATCCCTGTGTCAGGAGACGGAAGGTCGGTTTTCTTTACTTGGTCTCTCCCATGCAGTCTCGTGATGTGAAGCGCTCAGGCTCATCAGAACCTTCCTCAGAGCCCCCTCAGCTTCCTCGCTGTGGCCTCAGCTTTCACATGAGTGTTGAACGGCTTAAAAAGATGCAAAGGTTACAAGCAGAAATAAGCCTAGAATACACTCTTTCCTTCGTTCTATAGCCTCTCTCTCGTGTCAGTACTGGCTTCTCCGGAAGCAACCATGTCCTGGGCCGCATCTTATATTTGATTGTTCACGTGACCAGATTCTTTTTTTTTTTTTTTTTGCGGTACGCGGGCCTCTCACTGTTGTGGCCTCTCCCATTGCGGAGCACAGGCTCCGGACGCACAGGCTCAGTGGCCATGGCTCATGGGCCCAGCCGCTCCGCGGCATGTGGGATCTTCCCGGACTGGGGCACAAACCTGTGTCCCCTGCATCGGCAGGTGGACTCTCAACCACTGCCACCAGGGAAGCCCCAGATTCTCTTAAAAGACTTGCTTGGTGGTAAATTCAATTACTTGAAAGCAAGATTCTGTAGATACCTATGGGATTTGGTGATCCAGATAGTTTTGATGTTCTTACTACTGTTTTCTAAACCTCAATTGTGATAGAGTTGAGATAACATTAAAGTGCACTGGAGCAGCCTTGGGAAACACAAGGAAAAGAGACAGTTCCTTGATTAACAGTCTGTGTGTGTTTGTGCATACTACAGGATTAATTTAAAACTCCCAACAATCCAAGCAGAGTGGGAACTGTCACCCCCATTTTTTCAGATTTAGAAATGGGGGAGCAGAGGGGTTAAGAAATGTGCCCAACGTTCTACAGTAAAAATAGCAGAGTAGGGATTGAAAAGCAGACAGACGGACTGATTCTGGAACGTTAAGTCCCTGGCCACTGCTCTCATGCTTTGTTTTGAGAGGGGTGCTCGTGGAGGAGGGACTGTTAGAGGCAGGGGTGTGGACTTTACAGCCAGAGAGTGTTGACTTGGAGGAGGCTGCTGGCATCGAGCATGAAGCCAAACACACCATCTCTAAGCCTTAATTTCTACATTTGTGAAACGGTAGGAACAGTCCGTGTCATCTTCCGAGGACGCTGTAGGCATTATAGATCATGTATGTAAAGCACCTGCCACACAGTAGGCACTAAGTAGTTGGCCGCTGTCCATTTATACATAAACACATATCTTGAGCTTCAGGTCTTTTATAGCAGTGGCACCATCTGACCTTCTTCTCTGTTCTCTCTTTCCAGAGTCACTAACAATCCTGTAGTCACTGAAGCATTGGGGACCCTAAAATTATCTGTCTTCATTCTAAGTAGGGATACCTTTAGATCTCAGTTTATGATTTGGAAAGAAATATACAACTTTCTGTTTTCAACCAAGAAATCTCTTGGTTTATAAGACCTGAAGTATGCCATTTTATTGTCAGATTATCTACACAGGGGATGTGGGCTTGCCTCCTCCCATTCCTAACCTGTTTGCTTATCCATTTGAAAAGTCAATTTTGGCTATATAAGAAGAACTGTACATTTCCAGTTTCCCAACTAGATTTGTGTAAAAGAAACACTTTATCTTCATCCATTTTTCGAAAGAGAAAAATGAGACTTTGGTAATTTAAATTCCAAGAGTGTATTTTAAAGTAAAAAAAAAATAAAATTTTATAATCTGGGTACTGTAGAAAAGAACAAAAATTGAAATGTGTGGTGTTTTAAGCTTCCATGACTTAGCTTACTTTTGAAATGGATTGTGAATCTATATCTACTCGCAACAAATGGTAATTTGTGTATTGGTCTGCTAATTAGTATGGTTATTTCCCGTTTTGTTGATGAGGCTTAAATAAATGTCAGGGGTATAGCCATGAAGATCTTCCAATTAGGCTTCACATTTGTAAAACCCAACCCTTTTCCCTTTTGTGTGAAGATGACAGTTCCAGCAGCAGCCCCAGCCTAACAGGACTCCAGGGAAAGGTTCCTCCTCTGGTTTTATTGAAAATAGGGCCAGTTGGGTCCAGGGAGAATACCGCCACTGGCCATGGTGCAGAACCGTTTTCATCTCGACTACATACTTACCTTCTTTCATCCATTTTATTTTAGAACAAAACACTGTAGACTCAGTGAGCAATGTCTAGACTAAGTCTGTCATTTAAAATTATGTTTTAAAATATTTGCTTGTAAAAATTTATTGAAACTTTCTAAGAATGAGAAATAACTTTACTATGCAAAATTTATATGAACCTAAGATACTGCTCCATATTTAATAATAATAGCCTTTCTTAACTTACTCTGGTAATCGTAATGTGTGCTGTCTGTGTGTCTGTGTGTCTCACAGGCTCACACACACACAACTAGACCAGTGCATGGCGAGCAAGTGTGCCGCTGTGTTACAAGTCAGCCCTAACAGATGGATGGCCCTAAGCAAGCAAAACCACTGCAGCAAAATCGAGAGAAAGTGGAGGATTGAAGCTTTTTGTTGTTAAGCCCCATTAAAACCCTGGCACACGTATCACTCTTAACTATTGCATGTCTGGGGCGAGTAGCAATCCACTCAGGTTTATTTTCAACCTGTCTAATTAATTATGTAAAAGCTGCATGAGAAAATATGAATGGAAGGTTATTTTTGCATTTGTACTATAATATAAAGTGCATGACTGCTGACAAATGCCCTCCCTTGGAATGTAGTCAACACTTTAACCCAAATACAGTGTTTACAACTAGAAATATGCTCAACAGCCATAATGCCTCCTAATAAGATGAGGTTCTATTAAACTAGTGGCCATTTATTGTTTTTCAGATTACATTCACATGTAGACTAAGAGTCCGAGATATGAATAGTTCTTTCGAGTGAAGAAATAAGGACAAAGTTTATGCCATAAAATATGATATATGTGATTTTTCCATTTTTTACCCATAGTACAAGGTGATAACGTACACTTCAAATGAAACTGTATTTTTGAGTCCTTGTGTATTTATTGGTTTATAAATCATCCTAATGGATTTGGAATATAGCACAGCGTCAATGAGCTCATTTTATAATTGATGAGTAATGGAATTTCATCTTTAAAAAATGTGCTCAGAAGTTGTATATGCCTTTTTTGGCATGTGGAGACTTGCAGGTAAGGCATTTGAAAGCCACATTTCAGTTGAATGGAAACTTAGATCCCATTATGTAAGCATGTTTTAAATATGAGATGTCAGATGGTTTCCATTTTACACAGAATAAATCTCATATTTTAAAATACTGCCAATGAATTTGTTTCTGTGAAATTTACCAGAAAAGTTAAACATTTAGATTCTCTAAATTGCTTAGTTCCTAAGCATCTAAGTGATGGGATATTCACACCTAGTAGGGTGTGGTTTATGCTATTGTGATTGTGACACACTTTTCTTCATTGGAATTCAGTGGAATCTGGGAGTAAAATGAATGTAATTAAGGACAGTGTTTCTTTCTCAGATGACAGAATAGATTTCAGAAAATGACATGCTTGTTGAGGTCTTTGAAAAATATAGTCCATTGAATAGCTTTGCTTTATTGGTCAAGAAAGAAATGGCATAGTCATTGGTTTACAGAGGGAAGTAGCCACTTGCTTCTTCTGACCAGGAAAAAAATGACTGTAAACCACAATGAGAAAAATAGTTGTGACCTCAGGGGAAGGGGAAGAAATGAGTTTATGAAGGAGGAGAGCCAGATACTTGGAAAAAATACTTAATATAATATAAATCTTACAAAATAATAAAAATAAGTTTAACCAAATCATGGTAAGCCAAAAAAAAAAAAAGGAGAAACCCTAGTTTTTTATTTTTAGCACTCTGTTTACTTTGGCTCAGTATTGAGAATTCTGTTATTATGATTAAGTTAAAGTGCTGAATTAAAGTGATCAGAAAGTATAAGTATTAAAGTATGAGAGTTCCAAATGATAACATGTTTTAAAAAATAATTTAAGTAAGTGTGTTTCTATTAAAAGCTGCCCACAAAAAGTACTGCCTAAATGAAAACATGGTTTAGCAGTCTGTCCAAAAGCCACTCTTTGATATAGCGTCTATTTAGTCTAATTTACACTAATGCTACTAATTTATAGAATTGATCCTTTCAGTCCACTTTGAAAATATGGGTACCATGTTGTTGTTTTAAAGAAAGTTATTTTTCTCTGTTGAAATAATATTAATTTACAACATGTCAAATTTGATTATTGTTACATCTGTGCCCTGCCAGCCCTTCTCCCCAACACCCCAGTTATGGATGACAGGGGTGCCCTCTAGTGACCATTAGGTAATATTTTCTTTCCTTGAAAGAATGGTTATGCAAGACAAAATTCATAATTATAAAATTTGCCTTTCTCTTTTAGAAACACAATAGAATACATATTTGAGAAATTTATATTGTCATAAAATTGTTCAAGAACATTGTTCTTTCAAAGAGATAATTCAAGACCAACTCCTTGTTTCAGCAACTGGCCGGGACTTCATTTTTAAAATGAAGAATACCTAGGGTATGATAAAGACTTATGTGAACATGTTCCCTATATTTTATGAGATGTTTTTGGGTTGAAATGTACCTTTTTAATGTTATACTTTTACTCTTCAGATTTATTGCCACAGATGGCTATGTCATTCATCACAAAGTCTTGAAACAAAAACAAAGGTACTTAAATTTTCCATTTGGTAAATATATTGAGTATTACCATTCTAGACTTTACATCGGTAATTACATCACCAAGATCTTTCTGTTCTGTTTAATTTTGTGAGAGCTTTTTCTCGTTATATCTTTATTTTAAGGGCTTTTGGTGAAAGTAACAACAGCTCTCTATTCCAAAAGTCCCCAAGTTTTCTAGACAAATTCTTATTTTCTCCCAGGCATCCTGGCATACAGAAATGATTACTTTCTTCCTGTTTTGTGTATAAGAACTGCTTTTAAGGTTGGTCAGAGGTTAGTGTTAGTGTTGATGAAAGGAAAGGCCAGTCTTGTCTTTGTACATGTTCCTGCTGCTGTGCGTTAGTGTCCCTGAGAGGGAGAAATTTCCAGGAGTGTAACTAGAGAGTATTATAGAACCTTATTATTATCTGAAGCGGATTTATGTCTGTTACACATGATTATATTTCCTGGCATAGAACATAAAGTAGTAGCATGAAGCATAAATATCTTAACAAGTTACAAAATAGGACTACTTTGTGTGCAGCCTTCTCTGGAAGTTCTTCGTGGCTTTTCTAACACTTGAGTCTAATCCTGGTCAGGTTAGTTAACACACATCCCTCACCCCCCATAACTACCACTTACTTATTATAGCGAGAACGTTGAAGACTTACTCTCTCTCTTAGCAAATTAGCAACTCTCAAGTATACGATGCAGTGTTGTTAACTGTAGTCACCATTCTGCACAGTCCCTGAACCTATTCGTCTGGTAAGGGCAAGTTTGTCCCCTTTGACCGGTGTCTCCTCATTTCCCTCACCCCCTAGCCCCTGGCAACCACCAATCTACTTTATGTTTCTCTGAGTTCAGCTTTTTTAGGCTCCACATGTAAATGAGATCATACACTATTTGTGTTTTCCTCTCTGGCTTATTTCACTGAGCATAATACCCTCCAGCTTCATTCATGTTGTCACAAACGGCAGGATTTCTTTCTCTCTATGGCTGAATGGTATTCCTCTGTATAAACATACACCACATTTTCTTTATCCATTCCTGTACACAGGCTGTTTATGTATCTTGGCTGTTGTGAAAAGTGCTGCAGGGATTGTGGGATGCAGATAGCTCTACGAGACAGTGATTTCATTTCCTTCCGATAATTACCCAGAAGTGGAATTACTGATCATATGGTAGTTCTATTTTTAGTGTTTTGAGGAACCTCCATACTGTTTTCCAGAGTAGCTGCACCAATTTACATTCCCACCAACAGTGCACAAAGGCTCATTTTCTCTACACCCTCTCCAGTATTCCTTCCCTCTTGTCTTTTTGATGATGGCCATTCTAACAGGTGTGAGGTGTTATCTCATTGTGGTTGTGATTGGCATTTTCTTGATGATTAGTGATGTTGAGCACCTTTTCAATGTACTTGATGGTCATCTGTATGTCTTTGGAAAAGTGTCTGTTCAAGTCATTTGCCCACTTTTTAATCAGATAATTATTATTTTTGCTATTGTATGAGTTTCTTATATATTCTATATATTAACCCCCATCCAATATATATGATTTGCAAATATTTTCTTCCATCCCATGAGAATGGGAGAAATTTTCATTTTGTTGATAATTTCTTTTGCTGTGCAGAAGCTTTTTAGTTTGATGTAGCCCCATTTGTTGATTTTTGCTTTTGTTGCTTGTGCTTTTGGTGTCATATCCAAAAAAATCATTATCAAGACTGATGACAGGGAGCTTTTTCCCTATGTTTTCTAACATGCTATGAGTTTTACAGTTTCAGGTCTTAAATTTAAGTCCTTATTAACCCATTTTGAGTTAACTTTTATTTGTGATGTAAGGTTAAATTCATGCAATTTCATTCTTTTGCATGTGAATATCCAGTTTTCCAGCATCATTTATTGAATAGACTACCCTTTCACCATTGAGTATTCTTGACTCCCTTGTCAAATCTTACTAGACCATAAGTGCATGGGTTTATTTCTGGGTTTGTGATTCTGTTCCGTTGATCTATGTGTATTTCATACCAATAACATACTGTTTTGATTACGATAGCCTTGTAATATAATTTGAAAACAGGAAGTTCAGCTTTGCTCTTTCCAAGACTGATTTGGTTATTTGGGGTCTTCTGTGGTTCCATACAAATTTTAGGATTCCTTTTCCTATTTCTATGAAAAATGCTGTTGGAATTTTCATAGTAATTGCATTGCATCTGTAGCTGGCTTTGGGTCATATGGACATTTTAACAATATTAACTCTTCGTATCCAGGAACACAGGCTATCTTTTCATTTATTTGTGTCTTCTTCAGTTTCTTTCATCAGTGTCTTAAAAGTTTTTGTTGTATAGATCATTCACTTCCTTGGTTAAATTTATTTCTAAGTACTTTATTGTTTTTGATGCCGTTGTAAATGGGATTGTCCTTTTCAGATAGTTAGATCATTGTTAGTGTATAGGAATGCCAGTTTAAATAATTTTTATTGACCTGTTTTAAATGGCTGATGAGCCCATCAAAGAATTCTTTATCTTTTATATCATGTTTTTGTTTACAATTCTGTCATTCAACTTGACTCTTTTATAGATTCCATCTCTCTGCTGTCATCCCATCTGTTTATGCATATTCTCCTTTTTATTTTGTTCTTACTTTTCATGTCTGGTAGTTCTTGGGTGATGGGCCCCATGTGTAAAAAAGCAGTAGAGAGTAAGTTAAATAGTACTTACACCCAGAAATGGTGTGAGGCCGTTAGTACAAGAGGTTGAGTTCATCATGTGTTGGACTGGTTGGGATTTTGTTGTTGACATCATTACCTGCAGTGGCTGCTGTTATTATAAGTGTGTGTAGACGGCAGTACTTCTGGAGGTACCGGAAGGTTTTTCTCAGTGTTCCGCCTTCACCCTCAGCTGTCGGCAGTCGCTCTACGTAGCGGGTCTCTCTCGGTGTTTGCAGCCGTCCCTCGGCAGTTAATTTCTGTTGCTAGTTACGTGGTCCTAGCCTTATGGGTTTTCTGTGCTCTGGTCCGGCTTTGGTCTTCATAGGCCATGTGCCCCTGTGGCTCAGGTGTGGGACCTTCTCAGCATCCCTCCCTTCCTGCTTGTGGTGGATAAACTTCCCTTTACCTGTGATTGGTTTGGGGCAGTTTGCAGGCCGCCTGCCCCTCCCTAGTGGTGGTAGATTTATGCTTGGTATCCGTGTAGGATCCTGTGCCTGTCAGGGCCTCCGGCTCCTCCCTGGGGTGTAGAGTTTGTACTTCTACACCTGCCCCCGTGGTCTTGGGGTTGAGTTTGCTGACGTCTGCCAGCAGCTCTGGCTCTTGCTGTATGTAAATGAAGGACCTTCAGGAGTCAGTGGGCTTCGTGCCTGTCTCCTGCAGGCCTGCACCCCCATGGGAGCGCTTTCAGACTCCTGTCTGTCCCCAGTCCTTCTCTGCAGCACCAGATGGTTGAGTTGCCTGATCTGGCAAATAAAATTATAGGATTTTACCTGTGGAGAAGAGCTTGCGAGTGCAAGCACCCCTGTCGCTGAGTCTACCAGCTCTTCCTAACCGGCATGTTGGTCCCCATGTGGTCCTGGTTGCATTTCAGCACGTTTCTTCCTCCCTGTTTATATTCCAGCTGCTCTTCTTCTGTGTGTGTGCTTTGCCAAGGATGAAATAGATCCTGGCTCCTACCTCTCTTTGGAGGGGCTTCTAACTCTATGGAATTCATTTTACTTGGTTGCCTTACAACTCAGCATCCTGATAGGTTCAAGAAAAAATTACGATATTTTTCTTTAAGACCATCCAGATGTTTGTCATGGTTAGGATGGGAATCGACATTCTTTTGCTGCTTTTTGCATTCAAAATGGAAGTGGATTTAAAAGCAAAATGAATTAAAAGGTATGATTCTTGGCCTTGAGGACTTGGTAAGACAGGAATGTACTCACAGAGCACTGCTTTCATAAGAGAGGGCGTATCAGGTGACGGCCGAGTGATGGAGAATGAAGTGGCTAAAGCTGGCAGAGAAGGCGCCGTGGCTGTAGGAGGGGAGGCTGGTGAAGTGGTCACGGATGTGTCCGGACCACTTCAGAATCTTCCCGCCGGAACTAGTCTCACGTGACACTCAGCTGCTCAGAAATGGAATTCTGATGCTTCTATTCAAGCTTATTTCCTTAGCCTGGTAATAGAAGCCCTTCATAACCTGAATTCATCAGACTTCAGCAAACACGTATCTTGTTAATCCTTCGATTTAACTTTCTTGCTGTGACAGAAATATCTTTGGAAAAGTGTCTTAATCTCTTGTCTCTTCACCTACCCGGACAGCAGTACTCTTGATCATTCTGTAACTACCACCTGTTTTAAAATTGAGGTTAAGACTTGCCATTTTAAGAAGGTCTTTCTTGGGTTAATTTTCAGACATTTCTTTTTTCTGGGTCTCTGAGGACTGACCTATCTAGTGTAATTATAATGAAGAGTTCTGTTCAGAAAGCCAGAACACCTGGGTTGCAGTCTCGGCTCTGTCACTAACTGTCTAATCTTGCCCAGGAGACTTTACTTCATTAAGCTTTTGGTTCCCTAATATGTAAAACAGGGAAAATGCCCACCAGAGTGTGTGGTGAAGTAGGTATTTAACGTATGACCTATAAAACACCTAATACACTGAAGCAAGTAAGTCACGGGTAGGGCACTTTGTGCTTCAGTTACCGCCTGTAAAAATGATGACACACGTTTTTAAACCTCTTTTCAAATTGCAAACTGCCATGTATTTTTAAGGTATTGGCATTATAATTCTGTATAGTAGCTTTCTTGATAACTTATTCCCATATTATTTCACGCAGATATTTTTTGTGTTAGGCTGCAAAGTGCATAGGCCCAGGGGGTTTTTGTAGACTTCGGAAAAGCCAGGTAACGCTCTGGACCTCAGTCACTTCAACTCTGAAATGGGGACAGTAGCACAGAGTACCTCCTTTCCAAAAATTCATATATTACAAGCATCTCAATTTTATGAAGTCTAAAAACTTTTATTTTCCCATTCATCT